CCCTCTGCAAAGCCTTCTTCAGGATGTGCCTTAAGGAAACTCAAACTGAGGCATCTGTGGGACTAGAATATCCAGCATGAGCCCAGGGTCACCACTAGAAGCTTTACTCAAGCCAACTGGCATAATTCTTGCAGCACAAAGGAAGCAGCCACCATTAGGTTAAAGCACAAGACACAGAGCCTATCCTGTCCCGAGTACCCAGAGAGTGAATTCCTGGAGTTCTCCAGGAAAACAGTCAAAAGGGTCAGAGGAAGGCAGAGGTGGTTGACCTCTGCACTGCCCAGGCTGCTTCTTTTGAGTAAGGTGATAAGAGAGCCCCAGCTTCCCCTTCCTTCAGCGCCTTGTGTGAGCACAGTGGCATTTGCTAGGATATTATCTTAAAGGCAGCATAGTTCTTTTAGAGGGCAGGGAGAAGAGACAGAAACCACCCTAAAGATCTCCAGAAGGTACTCAAGAAACCTTCAGAACCATTTCAAAGCATAATCCCCAGGTAGTACAGGTTTTGCCACTCCCAAACTCTATCTCTAACTGCCCCCTCTTGAAGCTCCAATTCTCTCCCATCCCCCCCTCAAATAACCTCCAACCCCAAATGTCCAGCACTCCCCCAACTCTGTCCCTGAGCACGCAAGGCAAACACTTTTCCTGCTAAGTCCTCTACCTCCAAAGCATCCACAACCTTCTTCCTCCAAACTGCAGACTAGCCCAGGAAGGTTGCTTGAAGATGTATTAAGAACTTATGAAAATGGGTGCTGTGTGTCCTTTCTTGTTTGGTTTGGTTTCCATACCTTGCTGCACACCAGAGATCCTTCCCAACAAACAAACACCCACAGGAAGCCAAGAAATACCTGGAGAATATTACAGAAGCAAAAGCTGGAGGAAGACATGTGCCAAGTGCCACAACAGGGGAGTTTCTCTGCAAAGTGTGGAGCGAGAAGGATTAAAATTAGGGGCAAAAATGCAAGGCATGCTCCACAGAGTCAGTTCCTGCAGAAAAGCCAAGTGGCAACAGGGACGGAATTTTACACTGGAGCAGGAAGCAGGGGTGTATATGTGTGTGCATATCCTGCAGAAAAATAAATGTGTGTGGGGAAGGGGAAAATTGTGACATAAATGTCACTAAGTGTGCCAATATATTTATTTGGAGAAGAGCAGCCCAGAACACGGCTGCTGTGTTTATTAGTCCCACTGACACAGGGGGTGGGGTGGAAAAGAGAAAGCATGCCGAAAAATTCTGTTAAAAAATAAACAGTGGGCACAAAGGAGAGACTCAAACACCCAGAGACAAGATCTGGTCTGACAGCATGTGGTGGAGGTGAGGGGGAGAAAATGTCACAGAGGGCAGCAACAATGAACCCAGAGGTTGCTAATTCTGCCACACGAATAACTTGGAATGCTGCCAGAGCAGACAGTCTGATAGCAGCATCTTAATTGCAATCCTCGCACCAGTTAATCCAGATCGAAGGCCCCAGTAATTTTGCTGAAGTTGCTCCACAAGCATGCAGGCAGATGATGATGATAATAATAATAATAATAATAATAATAATAATAATAATAATAATAATTTATTTGTACCCCGCCCATCTGGCTGGGTTTCCCCAGCCACTCTGGGCAGCTTCCAACAACGATTAAAAATACATTAAGATGTCACACATTAAAAACTTCCCTGAACAGGGTTGCCTTCAGATGTCTTCTAAATGTCAGGTAGTTGTTTTTCTCTTTGACATCTGATGGGAGGGTGTTCCACAGGGCAGGCGCCACTACCAAGAAGGCCCTCTGCCTGGTTCCCTGTAGCTTTGCTTCTCGCAATGAGGGAACCACCAGAAGGCCCTCGGCGCTGGACCTCAGCGTCCGAGCAGAACAATGGGGGAGGAGACGCCTTCAGGTATACTGGGCTGGGGCCATTTAGGGCTTTAAAGGTCAACACCAACACTTTGAATCGTGCTCAGAAACGTACTGGGAGCCAATGTAGGTCTTTCAAGACCGGTTTTATGTGGTCTCGGTGGCCACCCCCAGTCACCAGTCTAGCTGCTGCATTCTGGATTAGTTGTAGTTTCCGGGTCACCTTCACCTTGCGGGTATACTTGAGTATACCTGCCTGCCACTTGAGAACATTGCTTCATGAGCCTGATGACTGTCCACAAAGGTTTCTGTCCTAATAAATCCTGCTAGGCCTTTATGTTCCTTTCTGGTGCTTGCTGCTACAGACCAACATGGCTGGCCCTCTGCAAGTTGTTTAGTTTGGGAAGTGCAATCTTAAAATGACATCACTGGTTCTGTTGTGACATCATCTGGATTCCAAGGTGCAGCTACATGACAGCATGAAGTGTAACCCCAAATATGAATTCTTCCTTTCACAGGTTGCCATCAAAACAAAAATGGATCTAGGAACTAGTGACATATGGTTGTGTAATTTAACAACCAGTCAGGCTCTGTGGGAAGCTGGAGAGAGGGAGCACCACTGGTGGACCAAGTTTTCCAGCAGTGACACCATTTCTGAAACACGCTAGGTGATCAGCACGCATGCATGTCGGGAGAGACTTCACGGTATTGGAGCAGGCACTTCATAGCCAATGTGACAACACAACTACGTCGGCTCAAGTTGCATTTTGCATTAGAGGGCATTTGCTAAGCGGCCGCAACTGCAGTGACAACATTTATCCTTAAATGATTATCCCAGCCCGTTTTACTAGGACGCTTCACCTGTGTCATTTCACTGATCATCGATTCTAAAAAACCCGGTTTATTTTGCAGCCTTCTGTGCAACACCTGAGCCAAATCAGCAAGGCTCTGAAATGCTCTGCTATAAGGAGAGCCAGGTGTGCCGGTCTGTATCCGCATGCTTTCAGCAGGATACACTGTCCAAAGACAGATCAACGACATCTTAAAAGAAGAGGCATCCCTTCTTTGACTGAGCCACTGCGGATCCTTTTGTGTTCTGGTCTGCGCTCAATGGGTCCCATCCTGCTGCCAGAAGCCCTCCGTCTTGAAAGGACCACATATGGACCCTGACCCACTGAGAAGACTTGGCAGTTGCCCTGTCTAAAAATCTCTCTTGCTTCTGAAGTAATAACGCATGAAGAAGGGGGTGAATCTGAGTGTGGTAAAGAGGCCAGTTGACCTGGCTGCGGTGATGATTTAATTCTGACAATTCAGTCAATCACCGAGTCTCATCCCAGCCCCAAGGTGGGGTGGAAATCCCTTTCTGGCACCTTAAAAACAGGGTGTTCCTTAGTGCCCTTTTTCTCCTTTCTACTCCAAGTTATCACACTAGACCCAGCTACTTATTTAGATTTCAGTCAAAACAGCTTTAAAGATACAGGAACATAAAAGGCAAAACTTCAAGACAGAAGACGTCCTTTTGACTGTCCAGAACTTCCAACCACTCTTCTTTATTGGCTGGCTCCAGGTTCGAGAATGTTGAGAGATAGAGAAAAACTTTTATTTAGATTCCTTTCCTAATCATTCTAGGTAGGGGATAAATTTATGTGCTTAGTGATAAGCCACAATGATCCCAAATATGGAATTTGCCCTTTTCACAGCTGCTGCAAAATGGGTCAACATTTTCATTGAGCTATACACTGTGACCCCAAGACCTCTTTGCTGGTCAGTCACTGCTAGTTCAGACCCCATGAACATGTATGTGAAGTTTTACGTCCAACATGCATCAATTCACAATTGCTTGCACTGGATCACATTTGCTATCTTAATGAGTAAGAGAGCCACCCGCCCAGTTCAGAAAGATCTTTTTGGAACGCCTTGCAATCCCCTTTCATTTTTATCACCCTAAACAAGTTGGCATCATCAGCACTCTTGGCCAAAATATTGCTAAACCATTAATTAATAAGATAAAAAGCGCCTGTCCCAATGCCAATCTTTGGAGGACCCCACATTCTATATCCCTTCTTCAGGAGAACTGTCCATTTGTTCCTTCTGCCTGCTTCCTGTTTCTTAGCCAATTCCTGATCCACAAGAGGACTCAGGAATCCCTGGTGTGGTACTTTGTCAAGAGTTTTTGGGAACTCCAAGTATACAGTGACTACCAGATCATGCCTTCATCATCACCACCACTTATTAAATTTTGAACATTGTCTTGATGGAATAACTGCATCAGAAGGGAGGATATATAAATCAACTAATAATAATAATAAAAAATCAGGGTAGAAATATTTCCGGCATTTCTCTGTGGGTCTCCTACAATCCTAGGTAAATGTCAACATTCAGGAACATATTTATTTATATCATTTTTATGCATAAACTATATTCAAAGTGGCTAATAAAACCATTAAAATAACCAGTTGCAGGAGAAAAGCCGCAAACACTACCCATAACAGCAGAGGTATTTAGCTGAATCAACCTCAAGATAGGGAATTTTTAAGGAATAGAGCACAGCAACCCTCACAGATCAAAGGCCTTCCAGTACAGGCGACTCTTAATTGTCCCTCTGTATGCAAGAAGATCAAACCTATCCATTCTGAAGGAAATCAGCCCTGAGTGCTCACTGGAAGGACAGATCGTGAAGCTGAGGCTCCAATACTTTGGCCACCTCATGAGAAGAGAAGACTCCCTGGAAAAGACCCTGATGTTGGGAAAGATGGAGGGCACAAGGAGAAGGGGACGACAGAGGACGAGATGGTTGGATAGTGTTCTCAAAGCTACCAGCATGAGTTTGACCAAACTGCGGGAGGCAGTGGAAGGCAGGAGTGCCTGGCGTGCTCTGGTCCAGGGGGTCACAAAGAGTCGGACATGACTAAACGACTAAACAACAACATGCAAGAAGAAAACCAGCTTTTACATAACCTCTGAGCTGCCCCATATTTAAGCAATTCAATCCAGTCATTCCTTCTGAGGGGAGGCAAGTGACTCCACATGCATTTAAAGGGGAATCTCCCCATCACCACACGAGTGGCTCTAACAAAAAGCTTTGCCCCTCACTCCTACTGTGAAATGAGCGTGGCTTCTCCTTCAGAAATACCGAAGGCAGAAGCTGTGTGCAAACTCACCCAGGCCACTGATGGTGTGTGTCAAGTCACTGGCCTCTAGCAGGATAGGTCCATTTTCTTGCTGGCCTTCTTCCTTGTAGTACAATTTGTAGCCCTGGATGGCTGCCGTGTCTTCCAAATCTTTTTGCCAGCTGACTGTGATTGTTGTGCAGTTCAGGGGTTCCAGACGCAGCTCCGGAGATTTTGGTGCTAGGAAAAGAAGGGGAGTTGTTTTTCACATTGGAGGAACAAGCAGAAAACAAGGAAGCTGCCTTATCTTGAGTCAGACCATTAACCCACCTAGCTCAGCCTAGAAATGTCTCTCCCAGGCATGCCTGGAAATGCCAGGAAGTTTCTCCCACACACCATTGCTGAGCCATGGCTCTTCCCTTCCTGTAAAACCCCTGGGAGGTCCAGTGCATCACACCCACGGCTGCACAGCCTACAGAGTCTGTGCAAAACTAATGCCCCATATCATAAAACGCAGGTGAATTGAGTTCATTAAGCAGCAAATATAAACTTCAGTTGAGCTACAGGGCTGCAAGGACAACGCTTCAAAGGAAAGGACACCAGGGGCAATTCAGGTTAGCTTGCTAGAGATGTTTTGCTGTGACTTCAGTTGAAAGGTCCATTATTTGGGCATATCTTAAATTGAAAAGATGACACACCTTTGACACTCGTGGCTTTCGGCGTGTGATGAGAAGTCCACAGGGAGGCCTCTCCCCAGCCGATCCGAGTTGCTGCAGAGATACGAACCAAATAGATACTGTCGGGCTTCAGGCCCCCTAAAAGGTGTTCGTAGGTCGTGCCTGGGAGCTCCAGAACCTGGACGGTGCTCTCGGTGCTGAGTCGAAATGACAAGCGGAACGAGACGACCTGGCCTCGCCGGTACTTGGCTGGAATCGGCAGCCAGGAGATGAGAATATCTGTGGGGCTTTGGCTTGTCAAGCTGATCTCAGGAGCCCTCAGAGGGACTAAGAGGTGGAGAAGCAGAAAGAAGAACAGTTTCCCCTCTGATATAAAAGGATAAGTCTCTCGTTCTCTCTCACACACACACTTTAATTGTTTTTTAATTGTTGCTTTTTCTGTTTTTAGCTGTTTAGCACCTTGAGTCCCTGTCAGGGGAAAGGCAGGATATAAAGATTTTTTTACACACACACACACTAATACAAAATCTATACTCTTCCAATACCTGTCAAGTCAAACTTAACACCAAAGGTCACCTTTCATCAGACATCCCAAACTCGAAAGGGGTAAAACAAGGGTGTATTCTCGCTCCCTTTCTATTTAATTTATTTTTATCAGACTTGCCAGATCACCTCCAAAAAATAGAATCACATGCCCCTAAACTTAATCAGAAACCAGTTCCTCTCTTATTATACGCAGACGATGCTGTCCTACTATCATTAACGAGCTTGGGTCTGAAACGTCTTATATCTTCTCTGATCCTTTACTGCGAATGTAACAAACTCTCTATAAATTATGAGAAGACAAAAATTTTGGTCTTCTCGAATGGTTGGAAATTAGAGAAATGGAAAATAAGAGGGCAAGAAATCCAACAAGTGAAAATCTATAGGTATCTGGGAATCTTATTCCAGAGCAATTTAGGGTGGGCAAATCATCGCACAAATGCCATAAAACAGGCAAAGTGTACCTCATCAGCAGTTGCCCGTTTTTATTATCAGAAAGGTAATCAATTTATTCCTGCGGCCAATCAGATATTTCAAACAAAAGTGCAATCCCAGATATTCTATGGAATCCCGCTATGGGTCCAAGCATATAACAGTGATTTAAAAAAGATCCACTCCAGCTTTCTGAGACGTATTCTTGGACTCCCAGCTGTGATCAAATATGAAACAATGTGTGCAGAAATAGGCATACACACAATGGAATATTGGGCATGGTCCACCTCAATAAAGTACTGGTTACGCTGCCATTTTCGCTGCCCTCCATCAAGTCTGCTCGCTGATTTGCTCAAAGACTCCTATAAATCAAGATGGTATCAGTACCTCGAAAAAAAGATTGAATCTTTAGGCATCGAGCTGGAGCCCCTGTACAATTCTAATGAGCAATACATTTTCCATAATATCCTAACTAGACTAAAGGATGTCGAGAGACAAAATATTATGGCAGCTGTAAACAAAATTTGCTCCCCCATATTCTATGATTTAAAAATCTTAGATAGCAGAGCCAATTACGTCACTAAATTAATAATCCCAGCCCAACGTAGGGCTTTTATGCTGGCCCGTTTGAATGTTTTTCCCTCAGCATTTGTCAGGGGAAGATATCAAAACATTCCTAGAAACAAGAGATTCTGCAGATGTTCTATGAATGTCCCGGACACTGTAGAGCATATTCTCTTTCATTGCCCATTGTACAGTATCCCACGTCAACGCGTGCTGTCCCCTCTTTTGGGTGGTCTGGAACCCCAGCAAGGTGAATGTGTGGGATTCTGCCTATCCGACGTCGACCAAAGGGTAACGGCGGGGGTAGCCGAGTTTTTGGTAGCAGTCCTCCAAGGAGCAGGTTAACAAGGAAAACCACTGATTTTATATGTATATATATATATATATATGTATGTAGCCAACTGCTGCCTTTTATATATATTTCAAGGCTTTTATATGTTATTTCCTCTTTTATGGTTTTATTTGCACAATGCCTAATAAAGGTTTGATAAGTAAGTAAAGATTTTTTTTTAAGAACTTACTGTCTTCCAGGGTGTGTTGTGTCACGTGGTCAGACATTTGGCTAGCTCCCATCGGCATGTAGGCCACTATGTAAAAGGTGTAGTTGCTGGCTGGCTCCAAGTCATCAATAATATAATGTGTTGTGTCGTTTCCAATAACAACTTGATATTCTTCATTATTTAAACCTGGAATGCAGAAAGAATTTACAGAAACAAATGCACCCGAAACCTCTCTACAGGATTACGGTATATGTTTAAGGCTGCGATCCTATCAACATTTACCTGGTAAATCGCCCTAAGCCAGGCAAGAATAAATCAGGGAGATTTCCTTGTATGTAATGAGGTTTAGGATTGAACTACAAGGTGGCATTCTTACTTGGAAGTAAGTCCAACCACTAAAAATGGGGCATTTCTGAGAAAATATTTGGACTGGGTCAGAATGGGGTTTCTTTTTGTAGTCTGAGTGAAAGCAGTTTCATGCTACCAAACTGTGCCTTGCTATAGAACATGGGGCTTTGGGATGTGCTGAACAGAAAGCTCTCTGCGGATGTGCTGATTCAGCTCAAAAACGCCATTCAGAAAACTAAACCACAACAAACTGTGAAGAGAAAGCAGGAAGGCACAAGAGGGGAGCCATCACAGCCTCTGGATCTCCTGTTTTATGGCCCTTCTCATTTTGGACCCTGGGGGTGGCGAGTGATTGGCTGTGGCTGCTTAAAAACACCAACCAAATCAAAATGAAGATGCTCTGGACCCCTGGCTCCCCATTTTAACTCAAATGATCCTGTTAATAGATTTGTTCTGTTTGGTGCACACAGGACTGTGTACCTGTTTTAGTTCGGGGACAGAGCAACAAGGATTAGTTTAAAACATGCTTTTCCTCCTTAATGAGTGCAGCAATTTACATCCGAACGTGCCCCATAAATGCATGGTAGGCTTCGTGGGGGCTTTGTCCTGCTTCGTTCCTATAGAGCAAAGCTCTAAAGCAGAAAGCAGCTGGTGGCGGCAGCCAGAGGCCCTTCCTTAATGCACAATTCATGCCAAATTGCTTGTCAACTTTGTGAAAACAACAAAAACCCACAAACCTCGCTCCTTGAAGCAGTTTAAGCCTCCCCTCCTAAGAACAGAACCTCTCTACAAACTGAACAACAAAAATTCCACCAGTCGGTTTTCCCACAGTTTTGAGTTAACTTGATAGCATTTTAATTAGGCAAGATTATGAGCATCTCACAACACCCTAATTAATGGCTGGTTAATTAGGAACTGCATGGCACGATTTCTGACCTGCTACACAGGATCCCTGAACCCAAACTGAAAGGGCTCCTTCTTGTCTTGAATAGCTGGGAAGACTCCATGGGGAGGAAAGGAGGCCCCCGCCTCGAAGAGGCAGCAGAGAAGACAAGCCAGGCTCCCCCTCCCTCCCACCCAATCAGCCATTCCTTTGTTCCTTTTCTTAATCGCTAACAAGGAATTAACACGCTCCCTCATCAAGTCCCCATTCTCCCTAGTACCACAAACATCTCCCCTACCCCAATTTGAAATACTTTTTTCTTTCCTTTAAGTAGCTCTCAGCAGACACCTGTTTGTTTTCTCTCTCTGCTAACTCTGCCCCTAGCCCAATTTGTATTCAATGCTAACTTTTATTATTCGGCCTGTGAGGCAGGCGGAGGAAAATATGACCAGATTTTGGGAGCATATTTTAGAAATGCTATATTTCTTTACAGTGAATGAAGCAATATCGGGCTTGTGTGAAAAGTGCAGCGCTTTGTCAACAGGAAGTGGAAGAAACTTCTCGGCTTTCCCTCCACGGACAGTGCAGTTACAAACAAGGAGGTCAGAAGAGCTAAGCTGATGTTGGATCAGACTCCAGCAACTGGGACTCATGTTGCATCTGATCCCGCAGGTGGCATGTAGACCTACCCACCTCATTTTTTGCATGGGGGAAGATTGTGCTGGAGCAGAAAAGGTACATATTTTTTCAACCGCTCCGTTGCCCAGTACCTTTATAGGGAGGGGTTGTTGCCTGAGAATTTCCCCTTGCTCCTGCTCACTGATTTTTTTTGGGGGGTGGGCTGGGACTGGCCTGTCTTTAGGGAGGGTGATAGCTGTATTTGGCTATTAGGTGGCTGTTGTTTTAAGATGGCAGGAGTTTGCTGTCTTACATTTTTGCATGCTGCATTTTATTGCTTGAATTTTGTCTTTGTGTTAACCACTGTGAGCTGCGGAGTTTTTTTCAGTGGAAAAGGCAGCATAGGAGTAAACGCTAGCTAACTACTTCAAACAAGAGCCTGAGAGACCAGATACACCTCCAGCAATTCAAGAGTTCCCACAAAGTTCCCAGAGTGCTTCAGGACAGGCTAAGGATGCTGCTGCTACAGGGGCTATCCACTTTGAGCGGCAGACAAGGCCAATTAACCAGGGGGAATCAAAAGCCAAGTCTTGCCGTTAACCAGCCCATCGGTTATCAAACAGTTAACGTATTGTACCCATATAATTTCCAGAAACCTTCAGTATTTATTCTGGCGAGACAGAAGCTGGTCTATAAAATGTGTTTTGTAAATGTAAGAAGGGAAATTTATTTCTTACACAAACCAACCTGGTGGTCATTCTTTTGCATACCTCAATGACCCTCCATAACGAGGTGTGGAAATATTGGGTATGTTGAATAGTTAAAAAGGTCAGAGAGGCTGAGAGAGAGCAGCACGTTCTTCTGTGTGATCACTATGCCCGACCCACTGCTCAAGGTAACTGCTACACAACAGGGAGGCATGAGAGATTCAGGGGTTGAAGTAGAATCCTTTACACTTCCATCTACAAGACCAGGCTCCTATGGAGAGATGGGCCTCCTCAAGTGACCCCAGGCAATTTAAAAGGTTGAAACTGGCACGTAAACCATGTCTGGAAGCCCACAGGTGCCACTCCAGATCTCGTAAGACTGGAGTTCTTCAACAATCATGGCCATCTATTCCCTGCTAAAAAGTGGAATTCTGCCTCCATAGCAGAAGCCTCTAAATACTTTTAAATGGCAGCCCCACATAGAGCATGTTGAAGTAGTCAAGTTTGGATGGTATAGCAGGAAGGGTGACAACTACCATATCCTTCCTCCATTGGTCAATCTGAATGCAAGCACTGAGTCTGGGGAAGATACTGAAGTGCCATTATAGACATACATGCATCCAAACACAGTCTGCGGCCCAACAACCCACACAGAATATAAACTTGATTCATCAGTGGAAGAGTAATGACACATCAATTAAAGTTGTCTTTCAAAAGATACTGGAAGTATAAATGCCACATGCCATTTGATCTCCTTAAAACAGGCCCAGCGACTTCTCCATACATTCATTTCAAGGGAACCACAAGCCAGATATTGTATTACAGTACCTAAAACCCCACAGATTAGGCAGCACATTACAATTCTTCATATGATTTATCCCAGAGAGCAAAAGGTAAATAAAAGGAAATGCTGCAGAAGTCTATGGAGGAACTTGCATGAGCCAGAGGAGAAGGAGGGAGGATGCTGGTCCTCAAGACTGCAGCAGATTTATTTGCCCGTGCCCTCAAAAAGGCCCAGAACCATCCATTCTATAGGGAAGCCTCTTGTGCCCAAAATATGGAGGAGCCAAGCAGCAGCTCAGGGTGCTCATCAGACAGATACCATACTTACCTTCTGCCTTCATGTAGTGCACTGAGTAAGCGATGACTTTGTCTGAATTGTAAAGTGGCCTCTCCCAGGCCAGAAGGATGGCTGAACTTGACATAGTTTCTGCATGGACATTGCAAGGGGCACTGGGCCGGTCTTCGGACAGAACTACCGTCAATCGTGCCCTGGACAGGATGGAGCCCTGGCTGTTCTCGGCCATGCACTGGTAGATGGCGTCATCTTCAGGGATGATCTGGTTGATCACCAGTTTGCTAGACAGACAGACAGACAACAAGAGCCCAGGGAAAAATTAAAAAGAAGAAAGAGCAGACTGTCCACCAACTGATACCTGAAGAAGTGTGCATGCATGTATCTGAATAAGTGTGCATGCACACGAAAGCTCATACCAAGAACTAACTTAGTTGGTCTTTAAGGTGCTACTGGAAGGAATTTTTTTTGTTTTGATTTAGTACCATTGTTAGGGATTTATTCTGCTCACTTCTATTAAAAAGGCACATAAAATAATGGAAAGAACATGATTGGAATTATTCAAAATTATTAAAAAAACAACAACTGGAAAGACGCTCCAATCCACATGCCACACTGGAATGAACACACTGCCACACCATCCATGGGTCAGACCTGCCAATCCTTCACGGTGACACCCCAAATCCACCACTCTGCCTTGGCAGGAGCACCTCTCCCCACAGGTCCTCAATAGCTCCAGAGTCATTGGGCAGCTGGCCGTTCTCACCTGTTGTACATTTTGATTCTGCCGTTGGAATGGATCTTCCTCCCGTTCTTCAGCCAGGACATCTTGGGAGCTGGGATGCCTTCTGCCTGGCAGGCAAAACGAGCTGTGCCAGCTCGAGGCCTTGTCAAGCTTTCCGGCCACTCCACAAACGAAGGGGGAGCTGAGGGATTGTGAAACAAAAGTTGAAACCAAAATCTTTCTCAGGCAAGATCCCAGAATATGTTAAACCCTTTCCTCTAGAGTCTTGCCAAATGCAGAGCACCTGGGGGCAGAGTTGCAGGGCACCTTTGTCTGGAGTGGCTTTCTTGTGGGAAGAGGGAGGAACAGGAAGCAGTTGCAAAGTAGGAGCCATTTTTAATGAGATGCTATTTGGCTATTTTACAGGTGTTCCATACCCTGCTTCATCACCCACCACTTCAAGCCTCTGGGTTAGGACAGGCATGAAATTTAAGATCAAGTGACACATGAGGGGATCTCTGCTTCTGTGCCAATATAAAATGCCTCCTGTAGAGCATTTCTGCAGAGCCTCCTCATCTGGTTTATTTTCACAGTTCAGCCTCACCAGCCCAAGCAACAAGACCCTTCACTCAACAGGAAGGCTTTGTTCCAGAGTAACACAGTATGCTTGTGCTGCCTGGGACTGATGGGAATTGTAGTTAAAAACACCAGAGTACACCAGGTTCTCAAAGCCTGATGTTGAATGAGCAACGCCATTTCTTCAGTGGCTAAATCTGCTTCACACCCAACCCTGAGAGGCTTTCAAAGTCAGCTCACCTAGCACAACAAGTGTTGCCATTGCAGTGGTGAAGTTGCGCGTGCCAGGAATTGTAGCACGACAGATGTAAACTCCAGAGTGCTGTACTTTCACATCCGAGATCATGAGATTCCCATTCCCAAGCACACGAGTGTTGAAAACGTCAATGGATTTATGGTCTGTTTGGGGAAAACAAGCCAGAAATGAAGATGTTCTTTGGTGGTGGATAAACCAATTCCACCTTCTGGAGTCCCCCTTCACTGCCCAGCTTCTCTTTGTGATGGCTCAACACAAGTCTACACTTAAGCAAAGAATCCAATCCAGGGGTGGCTAAATTGTAGACTTTCCATCTGCTCACATGGCCAATGGTTAGGGGTGATGGAACCTGCAGTCCCACAACATCTGAGAGGACCACAGGTGAGCCACCTCCAGTCTAATTCATTCTAGAATTTGTTTGATGGACATCCAGCTAGTTAGAATTGGGTGAAAGCATCCTGACCTGATCCCAGACACTTGCACAGGCATAACCTCTTCAGTCCTGGAACAGAGCTGACGTTACCCTTGGCATTCCCATGCTTCCTGCTTCTTAAACACTTTCCAACCACTGTAGCAAAGCTGACCCCAACAGGTAACATCCAGTTCCAGACATCCCATTTGGGAAGGGGCAATGGCCACCGGATCCTTCTACACAAGACAAGTCTTGCCTGCAGTGCTGTTGCTCATCAGCTGCAATCCTGCTTCTCTTACAGCATGCAAGCTTTGCACTGGCACAGCTGACTCTGTGGGGCCTGGGAAGCTTTAAGAGCATGGCCACAGCTGCAGTTTGGGGGAAAGCTCCCATATGCTCCAAAGGGAGCTTTTCTTCTATGAAGACAGCAGGTGCAGAGGCCAGAACTGCGCTGGCATCACAGCAGTGGCAAAAGAATTAATCCCTATGCCAGAGTCTTAGTCTGGATCATATTTGGCCTGCAACTGTAGAGGAAAAGGCATTCCACCTGAAATTAATGGAAGCTTCTTTTCCCAATTCAAACAGAAGACACAGGGGGCCCATTTGGATGAGCAAGGAGCAAAGGAATCCTATCCACCATCCTAAGATCCTGACCCACAATAGCCTCTCCCCCCAATACACACCTGCATGGGGTGGGGTTTATATCTCACTGGAGTGAATGGGAGGTTTTTCCTGATGCAAAGTGCAGGCATGGGCCTCCCAATCTGGGCCAGGATCACAGGGGAAGAGGAAGGGGTTGGAAACAGATTGTGGGTGTAAGGGAATGAATGGATGAAGGAGGTGCATGTTTCTGTATGTAAATGGGTGGTTGTGTGCCCATAAGAGAGATTGTGAATGAATGGAGCATGTGCTTGGTTGGGGGGATGGGCCATGTAGTGTGTGCGAGAAAAAATATGAATGGGGCATGTTGTGTGTGAGACAGAGAAGGGGTGTAGGGAGGGCGGGGACTCCGGCACCCCCACACCACTAGCATGTGACCCTCAACATAGGAAGCTGCCTTCTACCAAGTCAGATCACTGGATCCATCTAGCCCAGGATTCTCAACCACAGACCTAGTGGTGCCTCTTCAGGGTTTCAGGCAGGGAGTGCCTCCCAGACTGACCTGGATATGCCACCCTTGGAGCCTTCTGCATGCAAAGCAGATGCTCTGCTGCTGAGCTTAAGCCCTTCCTCATGCATGACCCCTGGAGGAATGCAGCTCCTTCTACCCCACTGCTTTTGAGGATGGCAAGTGGCTGTCAAGTTTCCTACACTCTTTCCACACTGACTAGTCTGTGGAGAAACTTTTGCCTCCTATTAGGGAAGTCCTGGAGGATTCTCCTCCAGCACTGATCTCAGCATTCATTTGATCACTGCACTCCCAGCCCCCAACCTGCCCTCGTGGTTCTACAGCAATAGTGTGAAACACAAATTGGAAACAAGAGGAACCCCTGGATCATCTCTTTCTCTCCTTCCTTTTCCTCATCTGGCACAATGATGGTGGAAATGAAAGCGGAGACCGCCTTCAATTTGCCCAAAGTGAAAAGCCAAAGATCGGTTTCAGGACTCACCTAAACGGCTCCAGGAAACAATAGGCTTTGGATTCCCTGTGGCAATGCATTCAAAGATGACAGTTTGGTGGAGGGAAGTTGTGATGTTCTGAGGACCAGCTATGATGGATGGCTTGTGGAAAAGCTTAATGTTGGAGGCTTAAAAAAATAAGAAGCACAAGCAAGCAGAGAGTTAAATGGAAATGCACAGCTGACATACACGCAGAGACCCACCAAACATGAATGTGGCACAGCAAGTCTTAGGATCAGGCCCCAAATTATGAAGGAGTAGACCCGCAGTGAAAATCTGGGCAGTTGTCCCATGAGGGAAATCAGTGCCTGCAGGTGATGCAATGGAGCAATGCTAGAGTCAACAAGATATTATCAGGATACCTGGGACAACCGTGAGCATTGCCTCGACACTTTTGCGCCGGTTGGCAACTGTTGTGGCGACACAGCGATAATTCCCAGCATCCTTCTGTTGGACGCCATAGATCTGCAGCACTCCCGTCGGCAATGCAGTTATTCTGAAAGGATTGTGGAAAGGGAGGGGAGAAGAGTTTCAGAATGAATCAGCGAACCAGTATGATGAGCAGAGCAGGATGCTGAACTTGGCCCCAGGGAGACCGGAGTTTGGATCCCTGCTCAGCCATTAAGCTCACTGAGGGACAGCATGTTCTCTCAGCCTAACCTCAGTCCCCTAATAAAATGGGACAACCCCTACACACACTGCCGCCCTGAACTGCTTGCAAGAATGGTAAGATGCAGATGTAATAAATAGGTTTAGTGCAAGAGAACCAAGTATCCATACCTGTCCATGGCTATTGGCAAGGTTGTCCGATTCACCTCCCAGGTGATGATGGCAGGAGGGTTGGCAGAGATTTTGCATGCAAAGCGAGCCACACTCCCTTCATGCGCCTCCACTGGAAGTGGCTGAATTTCAAATGCAGACATAGCTAAAAGAGGGGGAGAAAAATGAAAGCTTGAGAATTAAAACAGAAAACAAGCAAAAAGCAAAATGAATACATTATCCTATTAAGAAGAACACATTCTTTTCTTCTTTGAGAAAACAGCCTCTAAAGAGAGATCTATTTAGACAACAGATGAATGAACCAGTCTCACAAGGATATATCCTTGCAACTAAACTGAAATTCCATTAAGCATGCACTTTATTTGCCAAGTGCTGCTATAATGCATGAATTTTTTTTACAGGTCATGCTGCAAACATTTCCCAGGCAATTGGCAAAACCCATTTTCGGCTGCACCAGGAACCAGTCAGAGAGTAGGCACGGTGGCTCTCTGCCACATAGATACATACACTCACATGAAGTCCCTACTGCAGCCAACACGTGACTCTTTAAAGTGCTTTCTCTAGAGTAGCCTTCTCCAACCTGGTGCCCTCCAGCTGTTTTGGACTACAAAGCCCATCAACCCCAGCCAGGCTGCTCTATAAAGGTTGCTTCAGGCAAACAAGAGCTACTGCAATGGCATCCTGCTACAATGGGTGGGTTACAGAAATCCTAGCCAATCAGTCATATGGGTTTTGGTCAATTAGGTAAAGGTAAAGATACCCCTGGCTGTTAGGTCCAGTCGCAGACAACTCTGGGGTTGCGCGCTCATCTCACTCTATAGGCCGAGGGAGCCGGCGTTTGTCTGCAGACAGCTTCCAGGTCATGTGGCCAGCATGACTAAGCCACTTCTGGCGAACCAGAGCAGCGCACGGAAATGCCATTTACCTACCTTACCTATTTATCGACTTGCACTTGATGTGCTTTCAAACTGCTAGGTAGGCAGGAGCTGGGACCGAGCAACGGGAGCTCACCCCGTCGCGAGGATTCAAACCACCGACCTTCTGATCGGCAAGCCCTAGGCTCTGTGGTTTAGACCACAGCGCCACCAGCATCCATTTGGTCAATTAGCCAATCAATTAATGCATTATATTTGCATATGAGTAAAAAGGAACCAAGTCAGTTCTGAAGCAGAACAACAAACAAAACACAGCACTTTCTTAATAGACAATGTACTACTGCCAGTTTCCACAGACGCTTCCTAAAAACCCCACATCACCCGCAGCTGGGATCTCCTGCAAAGCACCGGGAAGCAAGGGGCGCAATCTACTGTGCAAATCACTACCTTTTTTCTACTTTGTACTTTTCAAGATATTGGTTTGAATTTTTTTTAAAGCAACAACCACCAGCAGGTACAGCGATCTCACACACTCAGTATCCAGCCTGCCTAGCTTTTTTTAAAAAAAAATATTTTTATTAAAGATTTCATCGTTTACAAAAATACATGCATTGTCTCTTTTTTTCAAGTGTTGTTTCATTTGTTGTGAGACTTTGATTTAAAGTCCAGCAGAAGATTTCCATAAAGTAGCTCCTCCCATGAGGCTTTTTTTCTCAAACCAGCAAATGTGGGCAGCTAAGGAAGACACAAAATGCTGGAGAGGTAGGTGAAGCAAAGAAAAACACGCAAACACATCACCCCTGGCCACCTCATAAGGAAACCCCACACCCAGTGAAATTAGAAGAGAGGAAGATGGAGGCCTATTTTCTGAGGGAGGGGGGAGGGGAAATTCAAGAAACTGGAGTATAGACTTCAGTTCAGCACTAAACTGAGACACCTTTTAGCAGAGTACAGTGGTACCTCGGGTTAAGAACTTAATGCATTCTGGAGGTCCATACTTAACCTGAAACTGTTCTTAGTCTGAGGTACCACTTTAGCTAATGGGGCCTCACATGACCACCATGTGATTTTTGTTCTCATTCTGAAGCAAAGTTCTTAACCTGAGGTACTATTTCTGGGTTAGGGGAGTCTGTAACCTGAAGCGTCTGTAACCTGAGGTACCACCGTATTTTAAAAAGTGATTTAGTCAATTAAGAAGTTGCAGACCTAGTGCTGATGTTATTGAGAGGCACTGGACAGGTAAGCTGCAGGTGGGATTTATGACTAAGAAACCTTGGAGGTTAACCATTTGATGAATCAGATGAGGCCAAAATATGCATGTGATTGCATGAGAGAAAGGTGCCTGCAATCAGATTTCAGGGAAAGAAAACCCAACTCACTTTTCTACGTAGAAAGCTGCACCTGGTAGCAGAGGAAAAGCCCCCACAAAAAGAAGCTGCCCTTTCTTCCTTGTCCTGGGTTGCAAGAGCTACAGGACTACCTTATCTGCAACATTAAGCTGCAAATCTACAAGCCCTAAGACTGATAAGACACAGGCAATAAATGCAAGGTCACTCAGCATAGAAAACAAACATTAAGGACAGGGAAACAAAATGGTGCCTCAAGGCTCAGTTTATTGGAAGACAGAGTAGACCAATCAGCCACTCATTTTCCCGCAGGGCCACTAGAGATGGCAGTGATGGTCCAAATCCTGTTGCAGCATTTTACTTTTCTGCCACAGGCTACCAATGGAACAACACCAGGGTCATTCCCAGCCTCTGATCCCATCACCCGACTGCCAACCAGCTAAGCCTCTTGCCACAGATGGCACCACACCTCTTTTGCCTCACCAGGCTGACAACTAAGAGGGCTCCAAATGGGCAGAATTTGACTCAAGGGGACTGAAAGTTGCTGACCAGTTTGGCCCTCAGACTTCAGTGCTGCAGAAATTGCTCTTGGTTTTATGGTATGCAATTTATCTTTAGTAAAAAGTGTTTGTGTCATTGCATCACATGCAATGTTTCCTGGCATGCAAGCTACTGTGAAGCACTTATTGGCCAGCCCCATGGAAATGACTTTTCCTTATGGGTCCCCCCCCCACCTTTATTGCAACCAGGGCTCAGAAAGGGACATCTAACGGTCCCTCGATTGTGAGAGTGGTCTAGGGGTTGGCACATGGTATGATTAACACACAGTTGATTTAATTTCCTTGAGCTGGAGTTTCCCCTAAGCTTTCTTCAAGAGCCACTGCTTTTCAAATCAGGACTGAAAAACATGGGGCTTATCTCTGGGCAACACAGCTTGATTCTCAGTTTACTGGGCTTTACAAACAAAAACACCAAGGAATAAGGCCTTTCATATCTAAAACTACAAATGCAAATAAGTCTTTGGAGAATGGGGAGCAGATTACATTTGACTCCTTAAAAAGGGAGCCACAAACTTGTAAGAATTCCAGAATCAAAGCACAGAGAGATAATATATTGTCTGCTACTTAATTTAGTAACATAGATGTGTATAAACTTTGTGAGCTGTTTGCAATGCTACCCTACATGAGTGTGGCGGCATATAGAGACATTTCTGTTTACCTGACCATCTCCTGACTGTCGAAACTGAGATCTTTGTTGTTGCTCTGGCTGTGGTTGTTACTAAAAGTAGGTAGTGTGACTATCTGGATATTTTGACTGTTCTTACTTATTGTTACTTAATGTTTATAATGTATATCATGAGCCACTTTATGAGATTTTTAAATGAAAAATTTATTGCGTAGCAGCTGTGAATAAGGTGAATTCCATGTTAGAAATAATTAATAAATGAATTTGGAAAGAAAACTGCTAATATCACCTTGATCGTTTTGGTGTGCCTGCACTTGGACTACTGTGTACAATTTTGGTCACTTCACTCCCAAATAGATATTGTAGAGCTTGAAAAGGTTCAACCAAAACGATCGAGGGGATGGTGCAACTGCCCTACGAGGAAAGGGTGTTGTTGTTGTTTAGTTTTTTAAACATGTGAGTTACAGGAGACATGATGGAGGTATATAAGAATGTGAAGTGGGGCCATGCAGTGAAGCTGAATGTTGGTAGATTCAGGACTAGCAAAATAAAGTGCTTTCTTACACAGAGTATTAAAGTTATGGAACTGGCTTCCCAAACAGGCAGTGATGGCCAACTTGGATGGCTCCAGAAGAGGATTAAGACAACCTCATTCATGGAAGAGGACAAGGCTCTCAATGGCTACTAGCCATGATGGTTATGTTCCACCACCTCCACTGCCAGAGGTGGAATGCCTCTGAATACCAGCTGTTGGGAGTCACAGGTGGGGAGAGTGCTGCTGTTGCGTTCAGGTCCTACTTTCACCCTTCCCCTAATGCTATATGGTTGGCCATTGTGAAAACAGAGTGTTGCAAAAGGTGGGTATTGGTACTGGCGGAGGAACAGGGGTGCATCGGGAGTGCACCGCCCCTGGCGTCACGATCCCAGTGGGGTGCCATTGCGGCTGCCCCCCACGGGCTGGGCATCACGCCCCTGAGGGCACCGCACCACGCCCCCGGGACACACACACACCAGCCACACACACTCTCCGCCCCTGCCCCCCACCAGAGCCACTGGGTATTGGGAATTGAAACATGTCGCAGAGTGCGTGCAGAGTAGACCACATAGATGGAAACACTGAAGAGACGCAAAGATATCTTTGCAAGGTTTAATAACAACTTCCCAAACACACATCTTACATAGTGTCTATAATCGCCACCCACCCACCAGGGCAGAATAAGGTACATACGGCACATTATATATCATTCACAATTGCTGACACAGCTAATTACAGTGACTTATCAGCACCTGCTACGCAGCTGTAAAAACTAGGTCAGGATATGACCCTAGCTTTTAAAGCGGTACACATCCTGTGAAACAATAATGAACCCTAACATTTAAACAAACTATTCAACAGTGGTCCCCTCTTGGTCTGATCTTGCTGCAGCAGGGCTCTTCTTGGGTGGGTTCTTATGAGATCAATAGGCTCTGGGTTCTGGAACAGAGGCCAAGCCAGGTTTTGAATAAGGACTAAGGTGCTAGTTAAGGACTTGAGCTAAGCTGTCCTGCAACTGAGGCAAGTTGTCTCAGAAACATCTTGGAGCAACCAGCAGAACTCTCTAGTCTGGGCAGGGAGTCAAGATAGAAGCCCCTCCACCCAAGCACCATCTGTCCAGTTAAAGTGCTGGTGCCCTTGTCTGTAGCGGCTGGTTTTTCAAGCTGTGGGGACTGCCTTGGAGAAAGCTACTCAGGGCTCTCCT